ANAGANANAGAGAGAGAGAGAGAGAGGGAAAATAAATTAAAGAATAGGAATTAAACTAAAATGCACTTAATGCGTAATTGTCAAGAGAATGTAATTTTCGCATTAAGACGAGTAATATACGCGCGCACGATTTTAAAATTCGGAGCATTATGAGAGTTAATTTACGAAAAGCTCTCCGTCCGCGGATGGGACGGCAAAGACACGGATGAAATAAAAGGCAAGGACGCGTCCTTTTTTTCTTCAAAGTGCTTCGCTGTCGGAGCAACGACTTGGAAGAGATAAAAGTTGGACCGCCTTTTTTATACTGACAGAGACACAACTGCATTCGCACCTTTTTATCCCGGCGCATTATCCCTGTCATAATGATACGACGCGCTCTGAGACACACTTTACAACTTGCCGGTATCACAGTGGCGACTTTCTCTTTTAAACGCGAGCTTATTCAACTCGTCTGTGTCACATGCATAATGACTCTCCGCTACGTACGTAATGGCAATTGTTACCAGGTGAGGAATTATCTCAATCAGAACGTAAATATTATTTTAATTTCATTGTTTGGAAAATAACTACACATGTAGCGGGAAAAATTAGAGATGCACAGCGCGAAAGGATATTAATTATGTTTGATTTAAATTAAACGCGCGAAATGTCAAAGAATGAAGAAATTAATTAATTCTCGTTGATCGATTTTCCTCGTTTCGTTCTTACGCGTTGCTGCAAATGTGATTGTGTAGTATGACAAATAACGAATCTTGTTTTTCATTTCCGTTGCAAAGTCTCGTTTCTGTTCCGTAAGACGGAACGGCATCCCGTGTCCGGTAAATCTATCCCGGGACGCTCAAACGAAACAATGGAAAAGTGTCAAGCCGCCTTTCTTCATTTGCGAGCGTCGTCGTGAGAGCCTCGCTTCCTTCATGACGACTAACCGGCGTGCATAAATCCCGAAAGCGCAAGCATCCGGGATTCAACCGCGGAAACTGCGCCTCACCGCCGTTAGACAGAGAGCGTTTCCCTCGCGTCCTATTTTTTGCCCGCCCCTGTCATACGAATTGCGAAAGACCGTCTTACTCGCTTTCATTTATACCGAAAAGAAAATGCAAGTTCTTGCGTCCTCGACGCGCTTTTTCCCTTTGACAAGACTTGTGTGTTTGAAGCGATTACATAAAAGTGAGCGCGTGGTGAAAATCCTACTATCGCCAGATTAGATTCTACTAGCAAAGAAAATATAACGATCGTATGTTTTTTTTTCTAAACAGACAATACATTTGCTTATTTAAAAAAAAAGTCTAAATTAAATGATATTCAGATTAAAACAGCGTAGATATAAGAAAATAATTTTATTTAATATCTAGTGTACATATATTTTATAAAAATAGATTATTTAATTTAATATTTGTTATAGAAAACATATAACATTATATTCTTATTATTCTTTAAGTTTCTTTGGAAAATTAATATTTCTTTGGAAAACTTAAAGAATAATATGTGGAATAGACTTTACCAGATACAAGAATTTGTTTTCTGGCTTCTATAATATGGCTTCAGTCACATTAAAACCGTCAAAAAAAAAAAAAACATGTAACTGTTATACAACTGTTTTGTTTCAAAATTGAGCAGATTAACAACATCAACAAGTTTACATAAAATATTAAGTCTATGATTTTCTCTAATTGTAGTTTTATAATAGTAGCTCAATTATCTATACATAGTCGTTTCTCGAATTTATATTGATAATCTTTATGTACATCTTTTACAAAAGATTTACAGATTTACAACGTCATCGAATAAAAAATTTCTATAAAACATATTATATTAAAAATATAACATATAGTACATGATAAATACTTTATATAATAGATTTCCGTAAAACATTTAATTCTATGTACCCTTTCTTTGTGCACCACCAGTGTAATAAAAAATATTTGATAATTTTCTATTTATGTCCAACAACTCGCTTCAGAAAAATTTCTATGACGTTAAGACTTGAACTCGCTCTTCAACTTCGATCTTAAAATCTTTCCAGTCGTGCTCTTTGGAATTTCGTTAACAAATGCGACACCACCTGAAAAGAAAAATACATGTGATCTCTTTAAATCTTTTTATCTTTTTTCCTCGAAATCTTCTTTCCACTCTCATTTTGCACATCTCAAAAATATATATAAAAATCAAAAGAGTGAATCAACTTTAGTTTGGCAATCAAATATATACGATAAAGTAATTAGAAATTCCCCACGATGGTGTAACAGTTGCCGCAAATTAAGTTATACCTTTGAGTTCCTTGTATTCGGAGACTTTTCCTTTTATGAAGTTTTTAATGTCATCCTCGGTGGGTTTCTTATCTTTTTTCGCCACCACAAATGCTCTCGGTACTTCGCCATCTCTCGCGTGCGGAATACCAATCACTGCTGCCTCCATCACGTCCGGATGCGTCCGCAGCAGCGCTTCCAGTTCCGCCGGTGGAACCTTCGGCCAGGCGAAAATAACGGTTTAAATTAGTTAAGGAAATAAAACGAACTTTTTACCGAAAGAAACAAAGTAATAATCTCGACAGTCTTCCGACGAGGTATTTTATAGACTTAGATATAATTTATATTTATTCCTCTTGTTTTTAAAAGTAACAATAAAATCTCTAACATTATCACGAGATTAAAAATATTTTAAAACACGTCTCTTACGTATACACATTAAAGTTAATTATCAGAATCTCATATGAAAATTCAAAATGAACTCTATTCGAAGACAGAAGTACTCACCTGGAATCCTTTGACTTTGATAAGCTCTTTCATTCTGTCCGCAATGTAGAAGTCTAAATCCTCATCGAAATAAGCGAGATCGCCCGTTTTCAACCAATTATCCTCGGTTAACGTTGCCTTCGTGGAAGCGTCATCATTGAGATATCCCTTCATTACGTGAGGCCCTCTGACCAACAATTCGCCGCTTTGATGAGGTGTGCAAATGTCTTGTTGAGTCGCAATATCTACCAAACGTACTTCGCAACTCGCTATGTTCTTGCCGATACTGGAATATTTCATTTCACGTTCAATAAATGCGACCGGGGCACTCTCTGTCAGACCGTAACCTGGCGAATTATATCGCAAGAGTAATAAACACAATCGAACAACAGACACATTTTGTAATTATAATATATTGCGTTACTACAGATTCACAGCAAATAAGTCTTTTGAACGAATGCAAATGCGATTGTGTGACCGCGAGATTCAACAAGATAAAATATCCAATTTTATACGCGCATGAAAAAAAAAAAAAAAAAAAAAACTGCGAATTTGATGCGAAACACGTTACACAGGCCTTGTCATGCCCTGTTTCGCAATTTGAAATATCAAACCATCTTTGACGTGAAAACAATTTCGCTGAATAAAGCTCGTTACACGTTTGTCCGTTTCTCTATGTGGAAGCAATTTGGACAAAAATTAAATAATGGTTCCTGTCGGTTAATACCGACATTTTTTTCAAACTAACACAATGAGTCGGTCGAATTTCACGAATGCGCATCAGGTCGCAATATCAATTCAAACAGAAGTAAAATTTCATACTACGTCGTACTCGATACCACGGCAGGCTTTATTCCGAACGCGCGGCCGATTCGTCGGATCTCGTTAAAAATTGAGCACACACACACACACACACACACTACACACCGTTCGCTTCCTCGCAAAAACCCACAAAATGCAAACACCTCGCTCCTCGCCCCTGTGTCTCGATATATATTTCCGCCTACGTTTAAAAAAAAAAAAAATATATATATATATTCGAGCCTTTAGAGCTCGCGCGCGTTCCAACGCGATCCGATCCGGAAACTCGATCTGCGAAAAAAATCAATGAAATGTCTCGTTCGCTTGCGAAACAAGAGCTTCGCATTAGAGAATTTGATCTCGCGAACACCCACCTTGGCAGACCTTCGTGACGTTGGTATCAATGTTGAACTTATCGATCAATTTATCGGCGTCTGATTTGGCGAGTGGCGCGGCACCGCTCATTATTAAGTGAAGATGCTCGAGATGTTTCTTCTTCACAAGAGGAGAATTCGACAGAAATATTACGATCGGTGGTACGACGAATAGAGAAGTCGCCTGAAAAGAACGTATTGTCTTAGCATACTTATTAAATTTAATTCCGTTAAAAAAAAAGTTTTTTTCTCATACTACGTAAATCTATAAAAGCATAAATTAATCAGACGGAAGAAATATAATGTTTTTTGAGTGATATAATATATCAAAACGAAGAAAAAATCATATAGAGCGCATGCGCACTTATTGTATGTGAGTTAAAAACAAAACTATTGAATATACGAATGTATCTTTTAAATTAAAACATCCGTTATTTTTTGTACTCGAATTTGACTTCTTCTTTTATACTTTTTGCATTGATATCATATATCTTGTCAAATGAGACGTTTCGATTCTTTATTATTAGCACGTCTTAGCTGATATATTTTGTTTTAACAAAGTAGAGATATTTGCTTTATTAAATTTATATATATTATTATATATTGCACACTTTGAGAGGCGTTATTATAATTTATTTCCGTTCACACATGTAGAAATGATCGCAGTAAGAAAGAAATGTCTCATTAGCATATTCACTAGTTCGTTTTTTACTCAACAGTGTTCTACATATACTTTTACGTAATATTTTTTCTCTCTCGATACTAAAGAGCACATATTTTATTTGCACATTGCGAGCAATAATTTACCTTACTTTTTTCCATTACATTGAGAAACGTTTCTGGTACAAATTTTGGAATAGTGACTATCTTTGACCCAAAATGAAGGCGCGGATACGTCACGCTGTTCATTCCATAAATGTGGAAAAATGGTAATATTAAGGGTATTACATCTTGAAATGTGTCTGAAAAAAACGAAGTAATGCGGAAATCATATATATATATATATATATATATATATATATATATATGTATATAAGAACACTTGATAAAATTTAATAGTAGATAGTGTTGGAAGTACCTGAAGTAGGCTGAAAAAAATTTAAAGTACTGGAATGAGTCATTACTATATTGGATATTAGATTGCGATGTGTCAACATCACACCCTTTGGTAATCCTGTTGTACCGCTTGAAAATGGTAAAACCACTATATCGTCACAGGTCGCGTCTAACTTTACAGGCGATAGTGATTTACCTCGCGTTATGAGATCCTGTCAACATTTTCACATAATCTTATTCCTTCACGTATCAAATTGTTTCCGCTTATTTTCGGCTTGCTGTAATTCATAATTGCATTTAAAAAAAAACTGTCAGCATATACTAACGTCAAAAGGTATCGAACCTTCTGGAATAGGACCAGTCTTGTCGTCAATCACTATAAAGGGCGTTCCGGGTGGAAGACAAGCTTTCGTCGCAGCGAGTGCGGTGGGTGCAATCACGGTCGAGGTGATAACCGCTTTTACATTGGCTTTCAACATCTGCCTCGATATTTCCTCTGAAAATTTTCATCAGTGTTTGTAAGTAAAAATAAATAATACACATTTAACATATTTTTCCGCTTATCGCTCTACAACATAAAACAATTTTCTTACCGGCTGTAAACACAGGATTCATAGTCGTGGCGATAAATCCTCCTGATGAACTGCCAAGTAAGCCTAAAATTGCATCTGGCAAATTAGGTGCTATAATCGCTATCACGTCATTTGTTTTAAGCCCTATGTTTCGTAAACTTCTGCCGATATAACTTGTCGCGTCTTTGGCTTGCGCGTACGTGTACTTTTTGCCATTTACGCCACATTCCTATACAAGCAAAAAGAAAACAAATGTTTTATCAAACCGATAACCTTTTGTTAAGTCTAGTTTTGTCATACCTGTTTACATAAAATATTATATATTTAAGAGTTTTCTTTATATAACATGATTACTCTAAGACAATATAGATGACTTAAATAATAAAATTATTTTTATAAGAAATATCAGAAATGATCTACTTTTAGAATTTACTTATTTTGCATAACGATATTCATTGAATTATCGGAATTACCAAGGCGATATGATTTGGATAATTCTCGCTGTTGCTCCAAACAAACTCGTGTAACAAGGTTTCCGGATAGGTAACATCAGGAAACGGAGATATAATAATCTTCTCGCCATTTGGTCCCGTTTTAATCCTGTTTTGCGGTATCGTTGATGCACATCTTAATGTGGAAGCGAGCGTTTTTTTTCCAGCATCCAGAAGTCGACTCAGGTTTTGAATGTTGCGTAATGCGTACGTCGCCATACTTGAGCACCCAATAGCACCTTTAATTTATAGACGATCAATTGAACGGATTAACGTCTGTAAGTGTAGTAAACATTTTTATATTTAGAAAGTTTTACATTTTTACATTGTGTATAAGAAAACGCAAATAACAAATATATTCTAAATAAATATCAAATTCGAAAAAATTTTGACAGAATCAGCCGTGGATGTTCAATACGTAACATTTATTTATTTAATTTCAAATAGTGACATCGATTTCTTATATTCGTGTTCTGAAATTGACACATGTGTGCTATAAATTAGACATCGGTGTCAAGAGCGCATCCAGTGATTGCAGCACATGAGTTGCTACGACCAGTTCAGTAAAACGCTGATATAAAGCTGATTCATTCTAAGAGAATCAATAAATAATTATCGTCGTCGCACAATTGAGACTTTAATCAGTAAGTCAATACAAGTCGTTCAAAGTTCGTGAAACGTAAATTTATCAGCAAATAAAATATCTACGTATCAGATAGAAATGTCAGTTATTATATTTTTATTAATTATTACTTATTTATTAATATTTACCGCGTTAATCTTGACGTAGTTGTTTTTCAAAAATTTTTTTTCTTACTATTTAAGATTAAAATTTTTTTAATATTCCAAATGTGCCTGGTAATGTTGTCTGTTATTTTGTTTATATATTTCTGATATTCTAAATTATCATAATTTATACATGACTAAGAAACGTGTATTGTATATTTTTTCGTTTTCTACTCATTGTTTCATATGATATTAAACTACAAAAAAAAAAAAATACTATCAATTTTATATTGCGATACATGCTATGCGAGTTCTTTGTATTGTACGTGTTTTTGATCTTGATCATTTTCATCTGTGTCACAAATGTAACTTATATTATGACGTTTACATTGTATGTAAAAAGTATCTGTCAGAGTTTTTGATACATTCATGCTTTTCTAATTCTTCACATGCAGTTCAAACTAAAACCGGTTTTACTAATATACTAAACTATTCACGCGCGCGTAGCTGCCTTTTCGTTCCTCTTGTCGGTCCAAAAATATCGCTCGTCTAATTCCGTCATCAGTTGTTGTCAGTTGTTAGATTTGGTATATTTGTATTTTTAACATTGTCACACACACACTGTTTTGCGTGTTCCGTATCGATAAACTTGGATCAATGTGAACTCTGTATTAACGAACGAGTTGTGATCTTCCCAGTTTCTTTTCGATTTTATCGTTAGAAAAAACATTTTGAATACAGACAGATCAATTGATGCAAAATAATATATATTATAGTTAACTTTACCGCTCGCTTGTTTATTTCTTTATAAATCGTAGATTCGCGATTGGTCTTTGATGATATCACGGCGCTATTTTATAACACTCACAGATATGCTTGGCCTTGGAGTTTTGATAGAAAATGCAATGTCGTAGAATGTGTCAGATTGCAATTCTCTCGAATTTACACTTCCGCGCATAAACTTTTGTCGTTGCAAGAAACACTCGCGGTATTCGATTCGAGAGAACACTCGCTGCGCCGTCAATCGGATTACTTACTGTCTGATCGAACTTTCAAACGTCCGTATCCATGCTTGCGTGGTTGATGTCACAAGCAGACTAGTAGTGTTTCTCAACAAACCGCTTAACTTTAACCAAGATATCGTTTCTCGACTCCCTACCATGAAGATATTGTCTCGTGACTCCCCACCATCGGTATAAGGGCAATGCCGGGAATGCGTATGAAAGTCAGCGAACAGACATGACCTTGAAGAAAAAAGAGACAAATTGAAAGCACTTAATGTTTATCAATCTGTTTTTTCAATTTATTATAATTTTTTTGTTTTAATATTAAAAAATAATACCGTTTGCGTCGTCGTTCTTTTAAAAAAGAAAAAAATTGATTTGCCCACGTCATAAACAATTGAACATATGGAAATAATAAATCATTCGTTTACTGTGTATATAGATCTTAACACGAACAGTTAAAAACGGATATGTTTCCTATATGAAGTTCAAATCATGAGTTTTTTGTACGATATATTAAATTTATTATTAAATCTTGTAAAATTCCTTGCAAATTTTGTTTTACTTAGATGAGTGAAATCGTTACCTCAATGGGTAACGAGAAAACTTACATACATCCAGATGCAAGTTCATTATAACGTTCACCGTGTTACCTTGGTTCGGTAAGATGAAAAGGAACATTACATAAGTTTCTCTTTTACAATTGCTGCTTTTCCTGCTGATTCGAATTATTGAAGGTTATATGTATGTATAAGATTTATTTATTCTTATATGATCAAAACTTATTATCAATTTTATCAATTTTTAGACAACTATATAATATTGTTATTTATGTTTCATTATGATTACAAAAGTCACTTGTTGATTTAACGATGCTACATACTAAGAAAAAAATTAGCTACTATTTTATTTATATATCACACCTGATGTTTCTTCGTTTTGGTTTTATTAACTTCGCGCTTTTAGTTAATTGAGTTAAGTCTCAAGTTGTGTATCGTGTATAAAAAAAAGTGATAAGATACTATCTTCAACATGCGCGCAGTATCACTGTTCCACGATAAAAAATAATTAAAACACATCATCAACTATCACTTAGTTAACGATCTAAAACGTTATTACGCATTTTATGCAGTCATTAATATTTATCATAATTAAATAAATAGCTTAAAAGTCTTTTTTTTTTTTTTTTAACATCATAAATGACATAAAATTCACATATGTAAAGCACTTTTGAGAATAAAAAAAGTTATTTTGCACAAAATTATTATTACATTAAGTGTAAAATGTGTCAGTAATTTTTAGTCAAAGATTATAAAACAGCAGAGTCATCACATCAAGAGGCAGTACGCACAAGGTTCACACATAGGGAAATGTGTGTTGTAATATAAGCCAGTTATTATCTATTGTGTCGGCGACACTGCACATTGGCGGACACATAATTACTCGTTCCACGAATGATTACTCTAGATTATACAATCTAATAGAGAAGATATTGAGGGGAGTATTATCCACGGAAGCTATATTATCGCATCTTTTCCTTCCTTTATTTTTTACAATGTTTGATTTATCAAGTTTTTGGTGTGACATATTTAATACAATTAATTTAGACTTATAAATGTTTTTTACGCACCTACAGAGATCTATATTGTAAAATATTTAAAATTCGTTTATACACTAATGTCTTATACTTTGCAATAACATATAATTAATGTATAAATAATAGTGTGTAATATGTATAAATATAAATATTATATTTTACAACATAATGTGACGAGGCACATATAAGATTTCAGTTGGCGCGTCGCTCTTTTATATTATATCGGATCTTTAAATGAAACAGTTTTTTTAGAGATAAAGTTTGAGAGTATTTAGAATTACGTATAAAATAGAGTTTGTTAAAAAAATAAAAGTTTAGATTGAAAGGTTTTGTGTGTTATTTTATTTAGAGAAAGAGAAAGAAAATATATACGACTGGCGCGTGTTACGATTTATGTGTGATTTTATTTCCAATGAAATTAAAATTGAACGAAGAGGCGCGAAACAGTCACATTTTTTAGTTTCTTGCCGCTTAGCGTTGTATTTAACATGTATAACAAGAGACGCACTGCTTATCGCAATAGATCGAGGCTATAAAAATGTACTTTTTTTTTTTACGTGATAAAAATAATTAATGAGCTTTACATATACTGTAATAATTTAGACATGTGTAATTGTGCAAGACGGCTTAACTGCAAATTTTATTTTTATGTATACCTTATTTTTATAAAGTTTCGCAATTTCTGCGCATTGGACACATCGAGCCCGATGAAGCTCGAATGCGTCGGCGCGTCTTCATTGACGCCGACGCCGATGACGCTTGCCGAAGCAGGATCGTCTCACGGAGAACGTCTAACGGTATCAAAAGATACAAAACGTGATCGAAAAATTTATTTCTAATTAAAGTACGCCATTTAATTTATACATATATTTTTTTACATACTAATTTGAATTTGTGTTAATAAAGTTATTTTAAATTACGTATTTTATAGTAGTTTAAAAAAGCTATTCTTAAATCAATCTATACACAGACAACACACAAAACAAATTACATTGCTATATGCATATTAAATATATATCTATATAAAACAATGTTAAAATATATATTCAGACAAATTTTTAACTTTAAATATTGTTTTTGCCTACATATCTTGCAAAACATCGCTCCGTGTGTTTCAAATAACATCTCAATATAATCCTTCACCGATAATATCAAAAGTATTTATCTACAACAACTTTCGCGAAGAGAGAAACTGATTTTACGTCAACTTACACCAATTAGGCTTTACTTGTCCGTTTGCCTAGAATAAAGACCACCCTCATACATACCTGAAACCTGCGCCCAAAGGCGACGGCCATGTCGACGTGGACCCTGCAGTGCTCACCCGTTGCAACCCACGTACACCCTCGGCTGGCAACTATTCACACGAAAAAGACACCCTCTTTCTGTACGATAGGGAAGGATCGTCTCGAAGCAGATAATCATCGCACCGGATCACTCACGCACGGAGCATTTGGGCTATGAATGAAGACCCAACCTTTTCACCTCGAGGTAATTATTGTGTATTCATAGTTTGTGTATTTTTTTTTTTTTTTTCTGCATCACCGGGTTCGATGTGTCCGCAAGATTCATTGAGCGAATTCAGTGCTGCTTCAATCGGAAAATCTCATCCTATCATGTAAACAAGCGAGCGACGAATGAAAAATAATTAAGAAAATATTAACGTTCGCGCGAATGACAACGTTCTCATTGATTTGTATCACACTTATGTCACTTTGTGTTCGAAGAAAAGCATCCCTCGCCTGTACATGTTGTTACGAAGTGTGTAAGGTTGGTATCTCGTACGTCACTTTGACGTCTGCCATTTATACGGTCGATCCGTAATGCGTCTCTAATTAAAACATGTCATAACGTCTTAAAAGCACAAAAGACAAATCGATGACTCCTACCTGTTTGATTTTTTATTTCTCAAAATCAGTTTGTAATATAAAAAGAAACAAAAAAAAAACCACGCTTGAGCGATGATAAAATGTGTAACGTTACGTTATCGTATCAGGTTTTGGCTGTGTTGCTTTTATCTGTGATTCCATGGCCGGGACCAAGTGTTTTTAAAATATCATGCCCCCGCGACCGAGCGTCCGTGGTGAGAAGGATAGTTCACAAGGTAAGAAAAAGAAAACAATCCATATAAATATATGTAGTAGAAGTAAGAGTGATATATATGTAATGAGATTTCGAGATTCCCCCGTTTTTACACCGGATTTCAGAGATGGATACCAATACTGAAGAAGTATCAAGTAGAATTGCCTTTGGAATGTCCGTTCCACGAGAGTCGGGATATTTTTCGTCCGCAACAAAAGGCGAAGCATCAGCACAGGCCGTCGCAATGGACCTGCGGCCTCTGCGGCAAGTCTTTTTACGCGGAGAAACATCTAGATGCTCACTTCGATAACAGACACAAAAGCAATGTTAATACGGTAAATCAATCTTTGAAAGTTCAAAGATTTTTTTTTTTTTACTTTGGAAACATTGTCGTTCGCAACAGATCCGCCTTAAAACTTCGCCGTTTAGTTTTTCGATTCGCAGAAAAAAAAGACGATCAATTTGAATCTTCTAATAAATTATGAACAAGATGTGATTTTTTGGCGCGCGACGCTCCGATCGCTCGTTTAAACACGTAAAAAGTCAAGGTCTTGTACAAGGCGGACATTTGAGAAGTAAGATGACTTTTTCTAAAAAACAAAAACATGATGCGAATCTTCTTGATGATAATAACCAAAAACATGATGGCCTTGTTCAGATCTGAATAACACAAAAACATATAAGAAAATATATTTTGAAGAAGAATTCACTTCGGAGACAGAGTCGGAATGCAACAACAAGATTTACATTGCTAAATACTCTCGTCCTTTTGTTTCGCTGGCCGTTTAAAATTTTTTTGTCTTGTTTTACAGACAGCTAGCGCAATCTCCGAACGTAGCTTTTATTTTGACGAATTATTGTAAATATCACTAGAGCGAGCCGAAGATTTATTGGAAGAATGTGTATGAAAAATCTTGAAATGCAAGATTGACACACACGCGCGCGCGCACACACACACACATACACACATATATATCTTTTTACGTGTCAGGCGGAGGACGCGGTTTGCCTGGCAGATTACTGCGATATCATGCGCTGCGATGTGCTCGGCAACCGCGACTTCGAGAATTCGGTGGACGAGGATGGCGGTCATCTTAACACCGATATCCAGGTGTGGCGTGAGAACACCGAACAGCAGAAGCAGCATCATCAACGCAGCACTTCCGTCGTGCCGTGCGAGTCGCGGGGCCTCGCCAGGATGTATCCTGTGGACAAGTCGTGCGCCATCGCCGGCGGCGGCGCGGTGACGAATCTGCAGCGTTACTGCCGTCGCGACGATCAGCACGACGACAACAGTGATATGCACAATCACAGAGTAGCGAGATCGTTCTATCACAACGAGATCGCTGAACCGGATACGAAGAGCAACGCTTGCGAAGAGGAAGAGGACGAGGAGGACGAAGACGACGAGGAGGATAACGACGAGAATTTGGTGGAGGCGGCGTTGCCCGCCGTCGAGAAGAAACAGAGACGACGAGGATTCCATCTGAGAAAGCTCAAATCCAGTTGCAAGCCGGAGGAGCTGCAGAAGCTGAAGACTCAGTGTGAAGTGAGTTTCAGCGAGTCCGTAAAGTTAACAACCCACACAGAACAAAAACTCCATTAGACAGTCTATTAGACAGTCGACAGCTCTATATATCGACATCTAATAGATGTCTAACGGATGTCTGTGTGGGAAGCGCGCTAAAATGTGGCTACTATCTCGTTAAAACTAAAACTTTGTTCTGTATGCGAACTATTTTTTAGGTTTTCTAACGATATTATCATCATCATCATGCACAAGCACGTATCATAGATTAGCTATGCAACACGTTAACGATAGTGTGACATTGTGTCTATTTTTTATCTATCCGATGATTTTTTACACAAAGCTAGCTCTCGAGTCAAACGTCAACGATAAAACCCTTAATATCCAGAAATATCATTATGCATGCTGATTTATACGTTTTCATATTCGAGTTCGAAAAACGAGTTCGTAACTATCACATTGTCACGCGATTGTCAACAGATACTCGTGCGCGATTGCATCGCGGGACTGCTCGCCAATCTATCTGTTCGGGATTTCCAAGAGATCGAAGGTATTATTACGCGATTACATATGTGCGCATACACGCGGTTGCGTTAACGTTCTCTATCTATTATCTCTATCGCAATTGCGTGCCCGCAGGAGAACTGAATCGCGCGATCTGCTGGTATCTCAGCTGCGACAAATACTGGGAAGACACGAAGAGGCCGCAGCGCCACACCCCCTGGTACCTGCTGACCATCTTCATGCTGTTGCTGTTCTCGTCGATCTACGCGTGTTATTACATTATTTGGGTCTGCTTCAAGTACGTGAAAAAAAACATTGTCGCAAACCAAAGCTAACGATACTATGCATTAAAAAATACTACGTATTTAAATTAAAAGTTTAAAAAAAAAAAAAAAACAAACAAACCTTTTTGAGTAAAAAAAAAAATTAAGTACTGAAAAGTACTGAATTCTCAGCACCGCGGACGAAGACAAGCCGGACGGTGCCGGAAGCGTGGATTACAACGGGAGCACAGATCGCTCGAGTACTTCTCCGTTGCACGACCCGAGTGTTCACAGTGAGGGCAGATTGGAGAGACGGAAGGGCGATCACGGGGATGAAAACCTGCCTCTCACGAGCGATGACATGCCCGATCACTATATCTACGTCTCGTATCCGCCCGAGCTAAAGCGGCGACTTCTGGAGAGGTAAATCGAGCCGCGCGCGAAACTTGTGCCCGAGAGAACGCGTCGCAATCGCATACAGTGATTCTTCTGCTTACAGCTGCTACAACAGAACCACTCGTCTGTAAACGGACGAGCCGGTTCAGGAAATACACACACAAATGCGATAACAAGATTCTCGGGCTCAGCACAAAAGGAAGGCACTCGGAGCTGAATACCCTCACTTTCTCATTTTTCTCGTTATCCTCGTGTTTTATATACCGAATGTGAATAAACTGCATAGATACGAAGTCAATACAATTACTCTCTCGTCTCGTTTCTCTATCTGTTTATAAAACCGTTTTTTTTTTCTCGGCGAAACGATTGTGTGAATTTTTGCCGACAGACAAGATTCAATGAGATACACTTTTTTTTAGCAAAGATGTATGTTTATGTAAATGATATTATCGCCTATAATGTGATTGGACTTCGATCTTTGATTTTATCTTTGATTCGATTTTTATTCCTGACAAGCTAACAGAGTTAAAGCGTTTTGCGTGTAGAAGTTGGATTTCAGAGTGTTTTAGGGAGGTATTTAGCGATTTTCTTTTCTTGTTGTACACACTACGTATTACCACAAGACATTATCATGATGTTAATAATGAGTATTTCACACACACATACTCCGAACGTTTTTTTTTTTTTTTTACTAAAATAGTTTATTTAACAGAATAATTTCTTTCACTTATGTACATAGATAATATTATGTAGATACAGAAGTATATTATGTGTTAAATATTTTCTAGAATTTTTTTTAGTAATCTCAGTATTAAAAAATAGTTAAATTGCGCGCGGATAAATCGGAAAGAAAAATACTTTTGACTTTTGTATAATAACGACTAGAAGGTAAAACTGATTAAAGCGATCGAGACTAAAACCAATACGTCATCTTCATGGATCCGTCGGATGCGCGTTGAGTATCCATTATGCTAGACTGACGTACCAAACGGCGAACACTCGCCGTGGTCGGCCGTTGCTGCTCCTCCAAAAGTGACGAGCGGATCGGACTCTCTGGTACTTCGTGCATTTCGACAACTTCGTTGTCTCGTACCGATAAGTCTTCGTAAGAAGCTGCGATCGAAGACGGTCTAAAGAAAACCAAAATTTTAATTTAAAGTTTTTCGGTAAAAACGAAAAATTAAAAAATTTTGTAAAGAAATATAATTTAAAAACATTATCAAAACGTTTCGATACTTTATTTCATAATAATTATTTCTGCAACTTAACATATGCGTCTCATATGTTAAAAAGAAAATTTCAAAATTTTCATAAACGATAAATCGCGAAACAAAAAAGCTTTCAAATGCTTCGACGACGAAATAATTTTGCTGTCAATGCGTACTTGGTCGGCACACAGCGAACGCAATCGGCACACGTCCAATCTTGTCCAAACAATTCGCCTTCTTCAACCGTCTGCGGCAAACGATGATGAAGTGTCTCCGGCAATCGCAACCCGGACAAGCCACCAATTACCGAGATCGCGCCCAAGATGACCAAAGGCAGCACGAGATTCTCTTTTCCCTAAAAACCATCGTTCGCATTATCGTTGTTTGCTCCAGTTTAAATATTCACTTCGCTGTTCGATCGTTTTAGCGCGAATATTTTCGCGATCATTATCAAAATACAAACAAACAGTTCAGACTCACGAGATACGTCACGAAGGGTATAATGATGAGACCGAGGCCGCTTACGTACGCGGAGAAACCGATAGCAATTCCGCGAAGTTGTGTGGGGTAAAGTTCCCCAGCGAAGGGATAAATAATTAAAAAGGAGGCTGATATCGCGGACTTCGATATCAGAAACAGTATCAAGGTCTCCAGAACAGCATCTTGAATTAAAAACGTTTATCAAAGATTAAGATTGAAAAGGATTGTTTTCTCTTTCAGTTATTATCTCTTCGTGTATATTAACTAACTCAGTTACTGCTCTCAAGCAATATTGGCACTTTACGCAACTCACTGGTTGTCTTGCTACTCTCGTTAATTAATCAAGCCATTAACTAATTGACCAGCGGCGCGTACCGGACGACAACAGCACCGTGGCGATGCACGACACTCCGGCCACAACCATGCACAAACAGAGCGGCCATCGGCGGCCCCATCGATCCATTACAACCCAACAAGCCATGTAACTAGGAATCTCGGCGAGCGAGGAAAACAGGAAACTCAAATGTTCTTCACTTCCTAGAGCCGGTCCGTAATAAGAAAGACCGACGTACACCATATTGTTGGCGAACCTGATCGTAAACAAAATTTACGTATTATGAAAAAAAAAAAAAAAAACAAAATCAATCAAGTTGAGTCAGATATTTGCAAGCAACATGTCGGTAGAAATTTGCTGATTATAAAACTTAAATTTACGATAAAAGTTCGTACATCTCCGTCGCATTATATCGTACAAAAGATAAAAAAACGTTCGGTGTAATTGATACAACTGATAATACTTTGTGTTTACCAGTTCAACGTAATCAAGCACGTCTTGAGACGCATGTTCGGTGTTTTAAAAAGCGCAAGGACACCAGGACCGGATCGCAATCTTTCTTCTTCGCTCTTTGATCTCGTCATCATCATGCGCTGACGAAGTTTCTGTGTAAAAGAAGTCGGAAGTTCCTTGCCGTTCACTTGAGCTAGGGTCTCGAGAATTTTATTCGCCTCAATTAGACGGCCTTTTGCTAACAACCATCGTGGCGATTCCGGCAAGTACCTACAAACACAATTGCCGACACACACGTTTGTTTTTTGCACGTTTGTGTACGTATTTTGTATTAGAACAACTTGAAATTTCAAAACATCTTGTTATGTCACAAGATATGTCACACACATGTCCTACGTACAGATGTATATGTGTTTCAAAACAGTTCACACTCACCACCAATAAAAGAAATAAATGAGAAAAGGCGCGCTTGTGGTTAGGGCGAGAGTTCGCCAATCGCGTATTAAATAGGTGACGCCTGCTAGCATGCAAAGACCCATAGTGTAAAAGGAACATGTCATAACCGTGACGAACGAGCGATAATTGGGGCCTACCAGTTCCAAAGCTATAAAAATTAAGAGAGTTAACAATAAAAAAAAATTCTGCCGACAAACACATGTGTAACAGAAATCTCTCGCGAGCTAAAATAAAAAAAACCTTATTTTTGTATTAACGCAATAATTTTTTTAACAAAATACCAGAGTGCAAGTGTATTTTAAATAAAATAAAAACTGCTCACAGATAATAAAAGGTATTTGATAAATTGCCGGTATCGTCAAGCCGACGATGAAGCGCGTGGAGGCCCAACTCCAAAAGCTGTTCGTCAATGATGTCAGGAAACTGCCGGTTATTAATGTCGCTAGACATGTAAAGAAGGATAACCTTCGGCCGATTCTATGCGAAAAAGAAGTCGGGCTTATAAATCTTTTAATTAAACGCGAAAGAAAGATTAACTTTTGACATATCGATTTTACATACATAATATAATGATTCGAAATAAATTGAAAATAATCTCTCAAATGGAAACAATTAAAATTTCACTGGGAAATGAACTGACAATATCGCTGATTAGCAGTGAAAGTTATCAATAATATAAGTATAAAAAAAAACACATCTAAAAAATAATAAAATGTCGATCTAATTTACCTGTCGTTCAATGTACCGAAAAGATACACTCCTATGGGACCTCCTGTGTTAAGGGCCACCAGGCCGATAGTTGGATAAATCGAGCGATCGCACACGAGATCGAACTGTAACATACATGGAGGAGCCGCGCGAGAGCTATTAATAAAATTCAAATTCCGCATAAAACATATTGTTTCGTGATTTCGCATTCATGACACACGTACGTCGATAACGACGGACGACCTCACTTCCGAGGTATCGTACTCCCAGCCATGGTCGCAAGGGACGACAGACCAAGACGCGTTGGACTCGGGCGGATACGTCGTCACGACGGAGAAATTTTCTATCGTCGTCGTCGTCCAGTCGACGTCGTATCGCGTGCATTGGCTGTACGTCTCGTTGTCATTCTGCATTCACATTACATGTTTTAGCGCCATGCATAATGTCGCCATAAATAATGCATTCGCTACGCTTCTACGAGCTGCAAGGCGGGGATCGATCCTAACGAATATACGTCCGATCGCTTGAAACAGGTTTTTTATACTCGTTAACCGAGCGGATAATTAACATGTTATATAAAATCGCGCGTGTACTATATAATTTTCGCGAGATTTTTACAAGTGACTACAAGTCTTTACAAATACAAGCAGATTTTACGAGTAACTAGATAATTTGAGTTGCAAATAGCGCGCGCGTGTGACGCATGTATACGGAGAAGAAAACTAATCCTGAAGAGAGATAAGATAGCATTCAATTAAGAAGATTGATGCGCGCTAGTAAAACAGCAACTCTTACCAGATTTTAGCGCTAAAAATGTACAGGTAATTAAATATTGATTAACGAGCCAAAGATGAAAAAAAAAACAAAAAAACGAGAAGTAATATATTGATATGAATCGAAACATGTATCGATATACATATGTTAGCGACTCGCTGAATCTACGCAAAAAGCACCAACGTGTGTTTTCTCGCATGTTATCGACCGCACCTGACTCGCAGGAATAGCAAGACGCCTTCTGCGATCGGCGTCCAGATTCTCCAGACCCGGCACCTTGCACCAATGTGGCGGTGTGTCCGCCATGAATAGCTGATTGAAAGCACAAAAACCGCAGGGCAGACACGCCGGCAGACAAACCAACCACAGCAGCTGCTTCTGATAACGACCGAACTCGCCGACGATCGGCAGAAGATCGTCGAGATCAAAAGACCCTTCCTGCGTTTACGATACTAAACTAATAGCGCTTCTGCGACACCGTAGAAAGTATCCCGCACTGTTTTCTATTTTTTTTTTTTCTATTTACAATTTTTATAGTTATACTTATTGTTTATATTTGGCATGTCTTATAAGTTAAAACGAAATCAAAGTAAAAAAATTGACGAGAGGAGACAACGCGATCTTTTTTAATTGCGCTTTCACGAATATATGAATAATCGCCAATCGAACGATCAGAAAATCTTAAATAAAGTATTATCTTAATACTTACGTCATCATCTGCAACATTATCGTTTCGCGTCGAGCCGTTATCATCTTGCCGCTCCATTTCGGTGAACTTTCCCGACCTCGTTCCCCACGTTCACCAGAATCCAGATGATACCTTACAAAGGTAGCGTCACGTGACGTGCATTAGCCTCCATCCGTAGTCGACTCGACCGATCGCATGCTTGTTTTCCTCCGTAATAAAAGTGCGAGAGTGACCGTCTCTCTCTCTCTCTCTCTCTCTCTCTCGTGTGTGTGTGTGAGTGGATTCAAAAGTGCACCACGCACTTCAACGATTTCGGCGTCGACGGTGATTCGCCGCGCTTCGATTTCTACTAACAGGACACAGGTCCAAAGGGACACACCAGTGAGTTCGACTTTATTCTTCTTACTGTCAAATCCGAGGACGGGAGATTTTCTCGAAAATATCGATATTATTTCTACCAAGATGTATATCGAAAATGTGAATTTGTAATTTTCTTGTCCCAACTTTTCCACCTCTTCTGTTTTTGTCTAACAAATACGAGAAACATGTAAATGTGTTTTGTGAACTTTTTCTCTCTTTTTCGAGTTTTATAAAAATGTATACATGTACTAATAAAAATTGTAAAATATGCGATAGTATGCGAAAAGAAAACCACAAATTGATTACAAGTTGTATGGAACAATTGTATGCGACAATTGTATGGAAAAAGATTGTAAATATTATCAAAGTCAAATTATAACTTAATCAATGCGGCAAGTGCCGCGATTACGCACAAATTTAATTTATTTAATTATGTGTAACTTTCTTATTTCTCGAAAAACGCGTTATATATTTATATCATTGTAAATAATAATAGCACTCGGGCGAAATAAACTCAAATATGTTTCGTTCGATCACTTTCACACGCTCGCTTGGCACTAACCGAACGAAAAGATATCGGAAATGTGACAAACGAGCGGTTGGTCTATAACGCGTGTGTGTCACGGGGTGTGCCTTTAATTCAATTGGGTTAAGGGTGCTTAGGAAGGATTAAGAATAACGCTGACACACGACGTGTTACGGGCGCACAATATGCAACGATCTGATACCCTCTTCGTCCCCTTCCCCACCAAATAGATAAGATTGTTATCGTATTTCAAAGTTCAATTGCTGTATAAAATATATGTTAATTATAAAATAATAAAATTCTTGAAGTGTTACTCGATGATGCGTCACATTTTCTCTGTGTACAAGATAAAATTATATACAGTAAATAAAAAATCTACATAACACATAATAACATTTAGAAAACACACATATAAACAGAAAAAATAAAAAACAAAAATTGCAATATTAATTATATTCTTGAACAAAAGACATACGACATGGTTGTATCAACAAAAATAAACGTTTCAAGAAGAGTTTGCAGTGGCATTTATGTATTTGAGCGACGACTGGTAATAATGGCATCACTACGTGTGTACAGATTTCAAACAGAATTTTATTTTTGGGTTCATCTTTTTTTTATGTCTTGTGTGAGATAAAGAGAAAAAATCATGAAAAAAAAACAGGAAGCAATTTTCGCCGATTGGTTTTCTTTTTTTTGTTTTTTTTTTGTTTTTTTTTGTTTTTCACAATACGCGCATACTCGAACTAGAGACGCGAACGTTCTCTTTCTCACGCGGTCATTTTCGCGGTTCGCGTCTCCGAAGAAAGTCAAATCAAAACGATGAGAGGAAAACAGCAGTCGAAATGACTCGATATTGTATGGCACTGTCGCTTGGCGATTCGTATAATCTTGTCTCTCGCACTCATCGGTACGATCAGCCACATTAATGTCTTTTTTATAAGTGATATGCAAACGAATTGATCCTGTGCGATGCAACGTGCACGACGCACGTGAGACGCATTAAGGACGCGCTGGCGCAGAAAGAAAAACGTCTTTGCGAAGAATTTCGACCGATTGTGCGCCACGATTTTTTTTCATGTGTGTGTGTGTGTGTGCGCGCGCGCGCGCGCGTGTGTGTGTGTATATGTGTGTATGTCGCAGGGACCTTGGATCATGTAATCGAGCAATCATTAATGTGACCAATTATACGCTTAGATACACTTCCAGAAGAATCGTCCTTCAGTCACTCCACGATCGCTCTGGCACTCACGTAAGCGATGTAGCCGAAGTCACATTGTCGTTGTCAATTGTAAACTTCCACAGGAAACACAGTCCTCGCAATCATCACACGACTGATTCGAACCAAATAGAAATAAAATGATGAACGCAGCGCGCTTTCTCGCACCGCGTGAACATGCCGCACCCTCTCCTGAATTCTGAATTGGCTCATCGCGATCTTCGAGAGAGCGAAACTTACGATTTTAAAGAAGCAAGTGAAGACTACAGGATACATCGGAGTCTCGTAAACTGTAATTTTAGATCGTTTTCTTGTTCCTTTGAATAATCTTCGAACACGTGCAAATAAACGCGTCGAGAGATCATCGAACGCTTAAGGCATTAAATTGATTTTGATATCTTTTCAATGAGATCTTTTTCTTGATGAGGCAGATAACGATTTATTTGCACGAATTCAAAAATTAGACGAGGTAGGTATGTGTGTGTGTGTGTGTGTGTGTGTGTGTGTAATTGTATTATTTCGTTACATTTTATTAATTTATACAAACTATAGATTGCATATGAATTTTAAAATCTAATTTTTTCAAATTTAATTCTAAAATTCATATTTTATTATGAAATACGTTGTGGCAAAATTGTTTCGCATCGTCTTCATTCACTTGGCTCTTTAGTTCAAATTTCGGGATTATCTCCGAAATTTCAAAATGGAATGGATCCCGAGCAAATGTTCCGTACAGTTTGAGATCTTGGTGGATCTTGTAATTGGTCACACATTTCGTGCGTAGAATTTTGGCTCTTGTGACTGTTTTACTCGGATTATCTAATTGCAATAAAAAAAAAAAAAATTGTTCCTCATATCTCGACTGCCACGTCGTCGCAAAATGTCTTGCGACTTTTTTGTTTACACGTATTTCGATAAATAACGTTTGTGTTTTTTGTTCTCAACATGGCAGCCGAGATCGATCACAAATGTACGCACGTACTGTCTGACATCTCTCTCTCGTAAGTTTTCTCGAATATACAAAATAAAATTTCTTCTGTAACATCACATTTCTCGAAATAGCGTAATTTCCTCATCTTGGATTGGATCATCCGTCAATTTTTTAGACGGTAAATTTGATGCTATTCCCTTGGCTCGATACCGATCACAGGCGCAACAAAAAAAATACGACATCGAGTTGAGCAAGTGTCGATGATTACGTCCGATCTGCGAGGGTTTACCGAAGATCGGTGTGATTCAAGTGGCCCTCACATCGTGAGAGTAGGCCGTAATTGCTGCTCGTGACTGATAAGAGCCTATTAGCGGTCTCTTATCGCGGCACAAAGTGGCCTTATCCTACCGAGATCGGCGAATCGAGTGTCAGGACGTTACTTGGAGGAGAGGGTGGAGCACAACGAGCGACACAGGCGGACGTTCGTTCACAGCAACTCTCGTCCTCTTTATTTCTTTTCTTTCGCTTCACCCACGCATATATAGGTCGCGCAGAGACACATTTTCTTCCCACGCGTTAATTATAAATTATATTTCGGCACTCTCTCGCGCGCAGCGCACCAGACGTCATCCATGCACGCAGCACTTTTTTTGGTTTTTATTTTATTTTTTTTTTTCTTCTTCTCCCACTTATAATTAGTTCGCCCACTTTTTTCGTCGCGACGGTGGCGATTCTATGGGAATCACCGCAGGGAAACTCGGCGAGGAACATTTTTAACGAGACGATTTCCGTATCTCGACAATTTCGCGGAAGCAAGAGATCCGAGTTACAAAAAAAAAAAAAAAGGAATCGCTCTCGTGTTGTTTTTTTTTTTTTTTTTTTTTTTTTTTACGCCCCTGCGGTGCACTCGTCGTCACCGCCGCGCAGTCAAACGCATCGGACAACAGATTTACACGTTGGGCTCGTGTTTCGCGACTCGATCGTTAAAAAATATTATCGAAAATATTGTCTCGTACGTACAAGGACACCGCAGGCGGGCAACGAATCGCGTATGCCGCCGCGGATCCGCGGGATCACCTGGAAACTCCAAAAAACAGCGATGCTGCAACTGCAAGGCAACTCCGTTTTTTTTATTTTTTTATATTTTTTTTTTTTTGTTTTTTGATCCTCTAACATCTAAGAAAGTCTTCTGTCAAAAATATTTTTTACTTTAAATTAAAAAATACGTGACTGCTTTGATAATTATGTCAAAATACAAAGGCAATCTTTGGCATCGTTTCGTTTTTTTTTTTTCTTTAGATATATTCGATTATAATTTTCGTGTTCCAAAAATACGTTTATGTCAGTGTGCTAGGGTTAAACATTATAGTTTCGTAAGAATATACAGGTCACTTCCAGGGTCACTTTCAATCGATCCCGCAAACCGACCGAGCGGCGCGATCCGATCCGCCCCGCGATACAAAATTTATATTTTACTTTTACACATTTGCTTCGCCTTCCTCTTGTTTTCTCTACACATCTCTCGACGATCCGTTCTTCCCTTCTCGAACGTGACGCCGCGATTCACGACGAATCACGAGCCAACCACATTATCACCGGCATCCTTATCAACTTTATCATCATTCTCAGCATCAACATCAACATCAACATATTAACATCCATATCAGCATCTCATCATCAACATCTTCTCTCCCCGATCCGCTCCTCCACAGTCATCACTTGACGCATCCTTACGTAGTAAACTTACTTCACAGCGCACATCATCACTGATACAGCGTAATGCACACACGACTTTTTTTTTTAAATATTACTAAAATACGCTCTCATCACGTACGTTCGCTCTGCTAAGCATCGCACGCACTCTAGGAGTCTCGACGATGAAAAGGCTAAACAACTAATTAGTTTCGACAAGACAAGTTGTTTTGTCGTGCTAGTATGAGTTTTTTTTTTCCCCCCCCAGGCTGGCTTCGCGTGCCGACGAGAAGTCCCCGTCGTCACGCACCGAGAATTCTCAGCTACAAGGACGTCTCACGTCGCTTCCTCGCGAGATCGTCGCGAGGATGTC